GTTGCAATGTTAGCACACTCTCGTGAAACCATGAATCTATCTGTCTGGTCCCAAAACATACCAGTCACAAGCTTCCATACATCAGGTAGCTGTCCTCAGAAACAATGAATACTTGTGAAGATCCAGGTTAGAATTGGTCTTCAGTAACCCATGCTTGTCGTAAGAGGCGACTAACTGGATCTGGTGTTCAGGCTTGGTTGACACATGTCATCATATCTCAATTGTGTAGATCGAAGCTCGTGATGTCGATCACTGGATTGTCTGGTCCAGACTTGATTATTTACATATATCTGGAATATTGCTGAGTGTGGCATTACACAACAAACAAACAGAAACAAGTCTTTTGATGTAATTGGACAGCTTCATGTTTTGCCACAGACAAGGCTTTAGTTAATAAACTGTGTTGAATTGTCAACCCAGTGGTCCCCACTGTGGCAGGAAAATAGAAAACAATGGGTGCTGTAGCTCACCTGAAACAGGAAAAATTCTTTCATGACACTTCAACTGTATTTTGGCAAAACTTTGGTAGGGATTTAAATGAAAATATGTGAAATGTATTACAGGAAAACCTTTTGTAGCATCATTTACATGTTCAAATGATGATATCTTGAACAAACTTGTATATCTTTAAAGACGTTTATCACCCCCACACAAACTTACTGCATATGACCACAGATAAGCCAGATTTTGAGGACCCCAAATAAGCAGTCGGTAGGAAGGGGTTGCCTTATCTATAGGTTTCACTTTCATCAAACTCATGTTTCTGGTGGTAACAAAACGAAGATGTCTCGGTAACGAATAACCAATGATCTGAACCAAAATGTGTTCAAAAGATGGAACACGCAACAATTTCACCTTTATCAGTCTAACAGATAAACAGTAAGAGTGCAAAGGTCAATCCGCCTCAAACGTGTCAAGGTCACTGCCTTTTAAGTATTCATCAACCAGAAAGAGACTCCTTGAAGGGCTGGAGGTCCTCACATTTTGCCCGATGCCCAGTGTATGCTTATAATTTGATGAAACTTTGGTGGTGCCAACTATTACACTGTCAGTGTTAAACTTGACGCACCCACTCATGAGGGGACTGATTCCCAAGTACACACATACAACAAACTCAAAAATATCTTTCAAAATATGGCCTGGGCCCTTATTTTCGAAACGTTCGTAGCCCTAAGAATTCTTAACTTATATTGTAGCCAATGTGTTAAGAATGGGCTTAAGAAGTACGTAGGGCTACGAACTTTTCAAGAATAGCTAGCCTGTATCAGATTTGAAGTTTGGCTACTGTGGCTGCTTTGTTTAAATCAGGACTTCTGTAAACATTTTAGAAAGAACAAAACTGTGATCATTCGCCATGGTCAGCTTCACTGTGTTTGTGGTTTGAGAAAACATGCTGAAAACTGGGAGGTGGTAGGATTTATAAAAACTACACTTATGCCAACAAAAACATCTACTGTATGTTATTCAGCATGCTAAATACTTGCTTCAATTTCATAATGGTGCATGTATAAAAGGCTCAGTAATGTAGGGCTCGGTGGACGAGCTGGCTAAGGTCCCAGGCTTGTGATCCAGCAAGGCTGAGGTGTCGGGATCGAGCCCACCTGTGACCGGGTGTAAAAACCTTGGAGTCAACTTTGTGTGCAGACTCTTTCAGTGTTGTCACAACCCCTAGTGTACAGTACACAACCCTGTGCGCTTAAAAGTACCCACGAATCCGTTGGTAAATGACCAGATGGTGGCCACATGAATACATGCAAACACCTAGTTGCGGGTACATCCACGTGCAGTGAACTTGGACAAAGTACTGTGACCCAGTCCACCCAGCTGAGAATGGGTACCTCGTTAGGATGGGAAAGCCACAATAACTCGGTGCGCCTAGTGGCTGCAAGAGTTGTATACTCCCCAGGGAGTTGAGATTTATGATACGATGTGCCATTGAAATTGACATCCAATCATCAAGGGAAAAAATACCAGGGCCTTGAGCATGCACTAGTTGCGAGGATATGTGCGCTATATAAATATCCTATAATAATAAATAATAAATTAACAAATAAAAATCATACTTTTTGCCGTCACGATCAGTATTGTGGACAGCCTTTGGAGACACACCATAGGATCATTCATGCAAAGTTTCTGGGTCCAGATCCACAGAGTGTTTGTAGTATTACAAAATATTGTAACTACCGGTATATAGTTAATCATAGGATTATGAATGACGCGGTACCTACACTTTGTGGATCTGGAACACAGCTTCATAGGACTTGTAGTTTCAGACATGTATGGAATGTATACTGTAGCCGGGGATGGATAACAAGATGGACGATGGTGCCCATACATTACAACATAAGCTTCCTGACTGTCTTGGCGCAGATAATCCACCCTCGTGACCATGGAGGCAGTCCTTGGACTTGAGGTATCCCTGTAGCCTGAACATTAATTTCTACATTACTACATGGTTATTAGGGATGCCACAATACATCAATACTTTTCGAAGATGATACAATTATCGATACATTCAAAACTGTAGCGATATTTAGTTTTGAAAGTATCGGTTTAAATATTTTTATGTATCATTTACATTTTGCAATTGTATCATGATTTTTTTATGTTATGAGAGTTAGAAATGATTATTTTCAAAGATGGGAAATTAGAACTTTTTAATCTCTGAGAATCAAATATGTAGATCTTTTCGTGGACAATTATAAAATATGAAATATTCAAAATGTAAATGAATTTCCGCTATAATGCCGTGAAAATAATTATCGTAATACGTATCGAATCATGAAACTTATGTATCGTGACATGGGTATCGTGATACGTATCAAATCATGAAACGTATATATCGTGACATGGGTATCGTGATACGTATCGAATCATGAAACGTATGTATCGTGTCATGGGTATCATGATACGTATCGAATCATGAAACGTATGTATCGTGACATCCCTACTCATTATCCCTGTTGATCGGATAACAAGAGTGAGTGAGTTTGGTTTTACATATCTTCACATAGCTTCACACATTGTACCCATGAGAGTAATCGAACAGCAACCTTCCGCGTGACGAGCAAATGCTAGGCTACCTCACCATCCCTTTTCCCACAAGAAACACAACAGCACAACAAAATAATACCCACAACAATACAACAAAATAATACCCCAAACAACACAACAGCACAACAAAATAATACCAGCATCAAGCATGTTTTATTTACAATATTCACACTACATTTCATCTAAAAAATTAAGATATATTAAACATATCTTTGGTGGTAAGCTTCAAGTCACTGAAAGGATGGAACAGTATGACAAAATTTAAGGATATTTGGTAATGCCACTAGTTCTCAGCTTATTCCGAGATGGGTATATCTAAGATTTTGTCTGCTGTTAAACATCAATGTCAGCAATATTCCAGCTACATGATCACAGAGTAAATAAACAAGAATATAGGTCTCCATCAACCTATGCTTGTCATTAGAGACACCAAATGGATCTGACGGTCAGACTTGGTGACCTGTAGATTCCATGTCCTTATATCCCAGTTGTAATGATCGTTGATCGTGGGGTTAATAGCTGGACTGTTTGTCCAGATTCTGGAATATCAATGCCACATAGAGGGTTAAAATGCAGGGGTGTTATTGCTAAAGAATATTACAGAGCCAATAAAAAGGTGACCCGTCACAAAATTGGAATTGATTTGATCATTTTGTAATGCAGTATTGCTTTGCCTTTGACAAATGATTTCAAGCCTTTGATTCTTGGTTGCATACACAAATTGTTGATATAGTTACGAGCAGAAAAAATGCGACAAAAGACTTTATTCTGTAGACTCGATCCTGCTATCAAAAATGCCGAAATACATTGTTTCTAGCCGCCAGTAGCTTGCCTCGTTATTCTGGAATTATCTCCCTTGGGTTCAGGGATGGCTTGATCACATGACCTCGTTACTAGCAGACGATACCGAAGCTTTGCCATGACGTTACAAAACAACAGAAATCGATTCTTGGCATATTATGAAGCAGGTATTACATCCGTAACTAGACTTGTGAAACTGACAGGACTGCATCGGGCCTCTGTTTACCGAAATTTGACGCAGGGTTAGGGACAGAGCGACAGGCTGGATCAGAACGTCGTGCTTCTCATAGGGCAAATAACAGACGACGTAACGCGCGTCTAGCAGCAGCATATCATAACTGGTCTGCAAAACAGCTTGTCGTGAAGGCGTCAAGTCAAGGAACCCCTAAGGTATCAGAATGGACAATCAGAAGATCTTTAAAGCAATCTGGATATGTCAAGCGAGTGCCGAAGAAAGTTCCATTGATGACAACAGCACATATGGAGAAAAGGCTCAAGTGGTGCAGAGAAATGCAGGGTACAGACTTTTCAAATGTAATTTTTACGGATGAATCAAAGTTTCAGTTTTATAGGATCACAAGAAAGAGTTGGTCAAGAGGTTGACGTAGCTGCAAAATGGTTCCGAAAGTTCTCACCCAGTGTCATGGTTTGGGGTGGTATAGGCAAACTCGGGGTAACGCCGCTGCTAACTATTACAGGAAGGATGGATTCACGCAAGTACTGTCAACTTATACAAGAAGGCATAGTGGAATCCCATATAGGACAGAGTGGAATACCTTTCAAACTTTTACCAGACAATGCACCTGTACACAAGTCAAGACACACCTGTAACTGGTTTGAAACGAGTCAAGTGACCTTACAGAAATTTCCAGCGGCATCACCAGACCTGAACCAAATTGAAAATGTGTGGCAGATTATGAAGGACAAATTAGAAAAGTTGGAACCAAAGAGTGTCGTTGAGTGGTCTAATTTCATCAGTCAAATATGGGTGGGCCTACCCCAGGACTACATAGACAATTTGATTGACAGCATGGGACCCCCGTATTCAGCAGTGCATCGAGAGAAACGGTGGACTAACAGACTATTGACTTGCATAAATGTAAACTTCAGTATCCAGAGTGGATGTATGAAAAATATAACTGAATTTATCAGTAAATAAATTTTGAAACTACATCTGTGAAAAGTCGCATTTTTTCTGCTCATTACTGTAGATATGCTTAAGATGTGTATTGGAAGTACTTAACTTCAGTTCTGAGAAATGCAGGTGCTGCACCTAGCCCTGGGTGGATATGGTTCATGTCATCAGAGGAGACTATATAATCCCACGGCAGGATAATCTCACTTGACTATGTGTTGACCAGGAGTTTTATAGTGACAACGTTTGGCAATAAGAGTTTGTTTTATACAAGTTGCGGTCCTCACTTTCAAGTCAACCAGTTTTGTAGGGTTGTGTATGCAACATACAGTACTGAAAGGTTTCGATGGGTTATTTGTGGAACATACAATACTCAATGGCCCCCAAGGGTCATGTGTTGAACATACAGTACTAAGAGGTCGCCAAGAGGTGTGTGTTGAATATATTGTACAAATATATTGTTAAAGCAGTTAAAATCTAATGGTTTTGTAACATGGACAATAAAGGCCATTTTTGGCATTAGCTGAAGGTCTCAGTTCAGTATGTTCAACACAAAACCTTTGGCACCATCCTGCACTGTATGACCAAATATACGTATACTTCTCCCTGATCTGGAATATACACATGTACAATATTTTATCAAAACATATGATCTACTCTCATTCACACAAGTCTAACATACTCATATCAATACTGTTCGTTAATAACATTTACTAATGAACACATAATGGATGAAGATGACTTTTCCAATCTTCCCCTCTAAACAGATAATCACGGAAGTTCCTGTTACATGACTAGCAGTGTGGACATCATCAGCTCTCCAGGAAGGTGTCGAGACAGTTGACACGATGGTCCTCGGAGGCTTGGATCGTGAGCCTCTGCCACCGAGATGGGGGCCACACTATGTGCGAGGCCTTGGCACTGATGAGGCCCAGAGACACCTGTAAACAGCAGCATGGGATCACATATTAGTCTGTTCATACAGACCCTCAAACAATTATATCGAAGAAAGCTTGTGCAAGTCTAGAATATGTGGCAAGTCTAGATTTCCACAGTTTCTGAAAATGAAGTCTCAGGGCTCCTTTTCATTATATTCTATTTTTTTTATTATCGACTGTTTCATCTGTAAAATATGTTCATTTCAGAGATAAGCTGTTAGTCTAGATCACATATGTAATCGTGTGTTTACTAGGGCTGCCACGAATACACTTTGAGTGAGTTTAGTTTTATGCCGAGTTTAGCTATATGGCCGCGGTCTGTAAATAATAAAGTCTGGACCAGACAATCCAGTGATCAACAACATGTGCATCGATATACGCAGTTGGGATACGATGACATGTGTCAACAAAGTTAACGAGCCTGACCACCCAATCCTGTTAGTCGCCTCTTACGACAAGTATGGGTAACTGAATACACCTTGAGGCGAAAATGTATTATGAATATGTATTCTTGAATACTTTATGTTTAATATCCAGAAATTAGTATAACAGACATGTCATGCAATTGCTTATGCTTGGGTTACACTATGTCCCCAGCGGCCATTTCTTCGAAATGGGGACAAAAGGAGATGGACGTGAGACAACGTGGGGGGACTGAATGAGCAAACGTGACAGTCCGTGATTGCCGGGGATGCTGTGCCAGATTTTTAAACTGTTCAAATATTTGCCACGGCAGCCACGGTCCTAATGAGAAACCTGGTAGACCATAGTACCAAGGAATGCAACAAAATGTGACAGCATGTAATAGGCTGTAACAAAACTGTAGACGGTCTGTAGTGGGTCCGCAGTGGGACGGGAGGCATGTGTATTCACCGGCATCTCACGATCGTTTCAAGTTTGGTCACATTCGGCCACGTTTGTTTGGCATTTTGTCACGATTGTTTCACCCTTGCTGCCCGTTTTATCTCGGTTCTCACGGCAAGCTTGGTTGTATGGTAGCAGATTCGTCCCATTCTAACACGACGCATTCAGGCCTGTGACGGTTTACAGGGCCGGTGAGATACGTCACGTTGCATTCTCTGGCATTCCCTCTCAGGAGCTGATGACTGCCCCCAGCAATCATACAAACACAAAATCTTCTAATCTTCTTCATCTTGGGGTGTGTGTGTGTGTAGTGTGTTCTGCTGCTCTAGTGTCTCAGGATACAATGGCTGCTATTGCTTGGGAGGCCTTATTTTTATACCATGGGCACAAACGTCGTCCAAAGCTGGTCAGCTTCCATGTTTCATCCATAGAAAGTCTTGACAGAACTCAGAACTCAAAACGTGAGAAACGTGATCAAAACGCGTGAAACGGAGGGAACCCATCAGAACGCCGACAGGCGGGAGGGAAACATAATGGCTTCCGTAGAAGACTGCGGGCCAAACCGTAGTGCGCATTTCAGCTTCCGGGACTCAGCAGCCCGTTTTTCCCAATGGCCCATTATGGATACTATGATAGACTGTGAGAAAACTTACACCGGACCTAACAAAACTGGACTTTGGAGGAAACAAATGACCAAAATCCCATGGCACACTACATTTCGGGGCAATGGGGCTGCCATGGCCGCCAGGGACATAGTGTAACCCTAGAATTAAGCTGAAACATTTAAATGATATTTTCATTGCGAAAATAGCCTCATGACATACACAACTGTATGGCTTAGAAATATTCCATTTTGGGAATCTAACTTAGATAAACAACACACTAGTTCCAAGTAAAAACACTCTCTAAAAAATATTTCTAAGTATTCCATGCTAATGACCACAAAAAATTAATTAAATTCATGAACGCAAATGGTTCGATTTACCAAATACACAAATGAATTGTAACATGACTAGTGTTTACTGTTTACCAGTGAACAGTGAGGGAGTGAATGAGTTTAGTTTTACACCGCTTTTAGCAATGTTCCAGCAATATCACGGCGGGGGACACCAGAAATGGGCTTCACACATTGTACCCATGTGGGGAATCAAACCCGGGTCTACGATTTGATGAGTGAACGCTTTAACCATTAAGCTACCCCACCACCCACCAGTCAACAGAAACTGAATGTAAAACAAGATGGCTGTTATGCAATTAATGTATTTTATTATAGTTAACTGACTTAACAGAAATTTCAACACATTCCCAGTTGCCTAATTTAATCTAATCAATGTATAAAATGAAAAAAGAAAAACTAGACTTGACAGAAGTCTGGACATTCTCAGTCATCAAATATAACATAACGTGTAAATGAATCCCCATCGTGCCTGGACACCTGTACACTCTTAACAAATTCTATGACAAATCCATCACCATAATGCTGCATCATGACACAGCCTATGGACAATGTAGTCAACACATAGATGGATCCAACCCGTGAAGATCCGGGTTAGAATTGATCTTCAGCAACCCATGCTTGTCATAAGAGGCGACTAACGGGATCGGGTAGTCAGACTCACTGACTTGGTTGACACATGTCATCGGTTCCCAGTTACGCAGATCGATGCTCATGCTGTTGATCACTGGATTGTTTAGTCCAGACTCGATTATTTACAGACCGCTGCCACATAGCTGGAATATTGCTGAGTGCGGCGTTAAACAACAAACCAACCGACCTAACAAGAGTGTTATTCTTAGTTACTAACATTTCAAATATTTGTATGTTTTTAACAAATATAAGAATTGATTAAGAGTTTTATTAAATATTTTTTAAATGATATTTCATCAAGTCTATTTTTGCATTTTCATAACATTTTATGTATATATACGCCACCATTTTCCGGTAGCTGGAATATTGATGAGTGCAGCGTAAACTAAACTCACTCACTCACTCACATAAATGGATCCTCCAGCGACACATCCATGGCCATAAGGTGTTGTATCATGATACAGACCTTGTATCTTAAGTAAGCCTAACAACAACATTTAGCAATGAACATGTGTATCATCATTCCCTACATGAACTCAGCACATCTCTATCATGTGTTAAGCAGAAACTATACTAACTGGACCAAAGAAGTTGCTGTCCATGCTGTTCTTGTGGTGGTCTCCCTCTACCCAGCAGTGGCCTGAAGGGACGTGGACCACAGCTTCCTTATACGCCAGAGTTCTGAAACACAACATCGGAACAAATCAGGTTACTGTCACATGACACAGGTGGGGTGAGGTGAAATTGGGTTTAACTTTGTATTTAGGAATATTTCGCTCATATGACGACGTGCATGAATGTGTGTGTGTATGTGCGGCTGCTTGTACTAGCCCAGACTTAAGCTGGTTTTATAGTGCTAGCCCACTTAGATACCACGCCGCAGTGAAGCATGAATACCCCACACAGACACATTATACGGACTCCGAGCCGACCAGTCCTTGTTGTACCTATTCATGCAGAGCACCAGGCAGGGACCAACAAGTACCATATTTTAACGTCTCATGGTATGATGCGGCCGGAGATCAAACCCGCAACCTTCCTCTCTCCAGGCAGACACTCTAAGCACTACACCACAGAGGCGTTCCCATGACACAGGTAGCTGATGTTTGAGATATCCCTCAGGTTGAAAGTAATGTTTTATGTTGATTGACATCCATCAATATGTAAGGAAAGATAATTTCCACAACAAAGATCAACATGAAGTATTTCAGTGAAACCTAATCAGCAACATCAAAGTCAGGAACTGTCAGTAAGCAGGTACAAAATCGCTTTTATAATTTTCAACTAAAAGTCTGCATTAAGAATTGATCCTGCTCTACTGATGGGACACATAGTGGTATGATGACAACTGAACAAGAAAGCATAAACAGCACTTACTTCACCAAGTCTCCTTCTAAGGCAACAATTCTTTTGATTAGATTCTGGTCAGGGTTGGAAGGACTCCTGAAACAAAACAAAATGAATTCAGTAAATTTGTAAAAATTTAACTGGATTCTATCAGAAAAAAAATATTGCTTTTCAGTATTTTTAAATATCCCTAATGATCAAAAGGTACCAGTTAACGACAAAACTGATCTGCGAGTCAATTCTATCAAGAATGGTTTTGGAGCTATGCTCCAGAGAAGAGCACTATTTTCATTTTCACTGAAGCCCACTTGTCTTCAGGTCAGTATAAAGACATTATTTCAAAAAGTAACTAAAATCATCAAAGGGCGCCAGTCTGTGGGGCAAGTTTCAAGATGAAATATTCAATGGTTATGATGTTGTTCACCGGTGATAGAAAACAGCTGACAGATGGACAGGCATACAGATTACTACATCCCCATGTACTTCAACTAGAGGGAAAGTAACATTATCTCTACGTGAAAGGATGAGTCAAGAAAACAGTGTAACTTGTGTTTTTCTACAAACTTGTTAGCTTTGATAGACATGTAAATAATGCAAAGCAGGTTTCTCATCAAGGGAGATAATTCTTCTATGCCTGTGTATGAGTGTGAGGTGCTCTTGTTAAGTGGTAGAGCACCCATAATAGTTGGTTTCAATAGACCAAAGCCAGCAGAACTTAGGAATTACAATAATCTTTTACACATACCATCCTGACAAGATGACAGATGACAAGGCATTATAAAGGCCCTTCTTAAATAGGAAATATCCTATTCTGAGGTTACAAAAATCCTTAAAATTATGCACTGAAAATAAAAGACATGTTCATCAGCCTATCAGTTTTTCCAATAGAGCCACTTGTTTTGAACATAAAGTTAGGTAAACTTTGCAAATATGAGGCAAACAAATGATTTTATAAACTTCTGTAGGAATCTAACTACACAAAGATTTCCAGTATGCTATTAATTTCCCTCGTGAGGAAAACAGCATGGGTTAAATGCTATGGAAAATCTCTAAATTTGGCATTTGAATATATGGTACATAGTCTTTATGTTTGGTGTTTGATATACCAACTGTACATGTGGCATAAAGTCTTTACGTTTTGTGTTTGACGGACTATATAGAGAATCTCACCCAAGTGTCTTCTGATATCAATTATATCAACACGAGTTGTTAAAGTTACAAATATCCGAGGCTTGCCGAGGATATTTTAAATTTTATCAACGAGTGTTGATATATTTGATATCAAAAGACACAAGGGTGAGATTCTATTTATCATCCAAAATCACTCTTCGTTAATTTTCAATGAAAAATGTACATCTCTGAACACGGTACTGCCACTAGACTTGCAGTGCAGCGATGTCATAGCATTGTGACATCATCAAGTTCATGACGTCATAGCATAATGTCAAGGCATTGTACAAAATCTACTGTCAAATTGATATCTCCTAGGACATATCGTTTGATCTCACACAAGCGATATCTCCTGTGGAACACAGTTTTGGATGATAAATGTACGTATGGCATAAAGTCTTTACGTTAGGAGTTTCATGGACTATATGTACATGTGACATAAAGTCTTAAGTTTGGTGTTTGACGGACTATATGTATATATGACATAAAGTCTTTTACATTTGGTGTTTGACAGACTACATGTACATGTGGCATAGAGTCTTTACGTTTGGTGTTTGACGGACAATATGTACATGTGGCATAAAGTCTTTACGTTTGGTGTTTGAAGGACTATATGTACATATGGCATACAGTCTTTACGTCTGGTGTTTGACGGACTATATGTACATGTGGCATACAGTCTTTACGTCTGGTGTTTGACGGACAATATGTACATGTGGCATACAGTCTTAACGTTTGGTGTTTGACGGACTATATGTACATGTGGCATAGAGTCTTTACATTTGAGGTTTGACGGACTATATGTATATATGTGGCATAAAGTCTTGACGTTTGAGGTTTGAGGGACAATATGTACATGTGGCATACAGTCTTTACGTTTGAGGTTTGACGGACTATATGTACATGTGGCATAAAGTCTTTACGTTTGGTGTTTGACGGACTATATGTACATGTGGCATAAAGTCTTTATGTTTGGTGTTTGACGGACTATATGTACATGTGGCATAAAGTCTTTATGTTTGGTGTTTGACGGAATATATGTACATGTGGCATAAAGTCTTTACGTTTGAGGTTTGACGGACAATATGTACATGTGGCATAGAGTCTTTATGTTTGGTGTTTGACAGACTATATGTATATGTGGCATACAGTCTTTGTGTTTGGTGTTTGACGGACTATATGTATATATGTGGCATCAAGTCTTTACGTTTGAGGTTTGACGGACTATATGTACATGTGGCATACAGTCTTTGTGTTTGGTGTTTGACGGACTATATGTACATGTGGCATAGAGTCTGTACGTTTGGTGTTTGACAGACTGTATGTAAATGTGGCATAAAGTCTTTACGTTTGAGGTTTGATGGACTATATGTATAAATGTGGCATAAAGTCTTTACGTTTGAGGTTTGATGGACTATATGTATATATGTGGCATAAAGTCTTTATGTTTGGTGTTTCATGGACTATATGTACATGTGGCTTACAGTCTTTATGTTTGGTGTTTGACGGACTATATGTTCTAGAACAAAATATAACATTAAAGCTTACAGGCTCGTTAACCAGTTGACTCACATATGGATCTTAAAATGCACATGTATTAAAAACAGTATCTGCTAGGTTCACTGAGTGATCCGAGAGTATTTAACTACGAAACATATCATCGAGAAAAACATCCAAGACGAGGCAGCGCTTCATCATTTTCAGAATAGAACAGAACATTATTTTCCCCAAGCTTGGCCCATAATGAACAATCATAAAAACCGTCACTGATGAGCATACATCATGGCCAAATGAGACTTAATGAGAGGGTTTTTACAGGTGACAGAACTGAGATAACCTATTAAGTGGGCCTAATTTTGTGTTTTTTTACACTAATGTTGTGTGTAATTATAATACCAACTATAATGGCAGTTCCCTTTAGGAAAATGTAGATGTTGCACAACTTCGGGAGAAAATTATCAGCCTGGAATACAAGATCTACTGCAGATATCATATGTTTAGATAGTTCAAGATGTTGGAATATATAAAGGTAAGTGAGTGAGTGAGTGAGTGAGTGAGTGAGTGAGTGTGTGAGCGAGCGTTTTACACTGCTTTTAGCAATATACCAGCAATATCACATATGACACCAGAAATGGCCACAGTGTACCCATGTTGGGAATCAAACTCGGGTCTTCAACATGACAAGCGACGCTTTAACCATTAGGCTACTCCACCATCTCTCATAATAGTGGACATCAGAAGGACATTACATGTGTTTGATGTGTGAAGCTCAGCAATGATAACAAATAGTAATCATACTTCATTTCTTGAGCACCCAGTGTCCATCGACAGGTGCTCACTGGTGCTATGACAAAGTTAAAAGTTCATGCACAGATTACACAATCCTGAAAGTCACGTGAAATGCTGAACGGATTCAGAGGTGAATATTAAGGAGAGACTTCACAACGTCTTTAACATCGCTCTATGGAACATTCCCGGTGCGGAAACATTACATCTCCTGTGGGTATATGTAAATACTCATTGTCAGTCACTGTGGGATTCTGTATCACAATATCGCTTACAAAAACAAACACTAAAACAACAATAAAACACCACAGTTATCAAATATGGATAATGGCCGCAAAGCACCTGCTGCTGGGAACATGACAAGACAAAGTCTGGCCTCAGAGGAACTGTCTTGTCCATGAATAATACAGTCTGGTAACAATACATATCCTGTCATGTATCGCTGGTAAGTATAAAAATATACTATATACCTTGGGTCAAATAAACGTTAAAGGAGGTGAGGTAGCCCACTGGTTTATTGTTGTGCCTATCTCACTGAAGGTTCGAGTTCAATTCCCTAATGAATACAATCAATGTGTGATATGGCTACAGGTAGCATGCAATCATACACCTGTCCAAACTTGGTTTACGATATAAGTTTCCGTGGCATATTCTGTTGTGAAATCATAGCTGAACTTACTAGAATGAACAGAACGTTACTAGATTCAGGTTTTGAGCAGTCGACTCCAAGGCAAGCAGATGAGGGTACAAGCTAGACTAAACTGGTCATGCTGATTTATTGAGAGAGAGAGAGAGAGAGAGAGAGAGAGAGAGAGAGAGAGAGAGAGAGAGAGAGAGAGAGAGAGAGAGAGAGAGAGAGAGAGAGAGAGAGAGAGAGAGAGAGAGAGAGAGAGAGAGAGAGAGAGAGAGAGAGAGAGAGAGAGAGAGAGAGAGATGTATGGGCTTCCATTCAAACTCTAGTTTGTTATTCATTACTGCAGCATACACAATTATGTTATTCGTGTTGTGAACAATGTAATCTGTCTATTGAATTTGAATTATTGGTCTTTCAGGAAAGCCTTATATTATTGCCTATTAAATCAACAGTTGATGAAGCCAAGCTATCTATACCGACATCCCTGTTGACAGCTTTTGAAATATTATCCCCAGACAAATCTCATCAGACTACAATACATCAAACAATCTAATGTCACACCCAAACTTCAAATATTTGCCCGCACCAAACAACTTAAACTAATATCACTTTTTTTCTAAATCCAAACCTGATTTAAACAATTACACCAATGCTTTGAAAGGAAACAAATATCGATTCATAAAATGCATAACCGATTACAATACTTTTTGCCAATTTTCAGAACAGTGGGGAGATTGATTATTATTACAATTGATTTATGAAGCTAACGATACCCATGATGATTTAATGAGTCATACTTCACCCCACTTAATTCGCTGCATGCCATTATAACCTCAGTAGGGCGTCAGGTCCTATCATTGTACACAGCAACAAATAAAGCATTTCTGTAATGGGTATTGTCAAAACGCTACCTGTCTCAGTGACCTTATTCAGCTTTCCTATCTATCCCAACATCATAACCCATTAACACTGATCCCATATTCGATGGGAGGCAAGTTGTGATTTT